TTGCCGCTTGAATTTAAATCTATCAGTATGGGACACATCAGCTTATTTGTGGAGTTAATTGTAGAGGGGTATTTGCTGAAATTTTCATTATTCAGTATCGGCTTACAGTGCAGTCAAGGTAGTATTCCACATCTACCCAGAAAAGAGGATTCATGTGACAACACACCTTGATGTTACCGTCCATTTGTTTCAGGTAACTGGGAGGACCTGGTCAAATTTCTTCAGATGGCTCGTAAGAAGGCCCGTGAGTCCTACGTTGAAACAGAGCTCATCTTTGCCTTGGCCAAAACCAATCGCCTGGCAGAACTGGAAGAGTTTATTAATGGACCCAACAATGCTCACATCCAGCAGGTTAGACTCACTCTCACTCAAGACTCAGTGAATCAGCCGACACGTCAACACAATGACACAGTGAATCTTTATTTGATCTGTCCTGCAGGTCGGTGATCGCTGCTATGATGAGAAAATGTACGATGCTGCTAAGCTGCTGTACAACAACGTCTCCAACTTTGGCCGTTTGGCTTCGACTCTCGTGCACCTCGGGGAGTACCAGGCTGCAGTGGACGGTGCCCGTAAGGCCAACAGCACCCGCACCTGGAAAGAGGTGTGCTTCGCCTGCGTGGATGGAAAGGAGTTCAGACTGGCCCAGATGTGTGGTCTCCACATTGTAGTTCACGCTGATGAGCTGGAGGAGCTGATCAACTACTACCAAGTAAGCAGGAAATGAAGGCATTATTGTGCACTATTTTAAAAACTGAGCTCACATTCATAAACACACATTTACCAAATCCTAAATCCTCTCCCTTCTCTTTCAGGACCGCGGTTACTTTGAGGAGCTGATCACAATGCTGGAAGCCGCCCTGGGCCTGGAGCGCGCTCACATGGGAATGTTCACGGAGCTGGCCATTCTTTACTCCAAGTTCAAGCCCCAGAAGATGAGAGAGCATCTGGAGCTCTTTTGGTCCAGAGTTAACATTCCAAAGGTGCTGAGAGCAGCGGAGCAGGCGCACCTGTGGGCCGAGCTGGTCTTCCTCTACGACAAGTATGAGGAGTTCGACAACGCTATCATCACCATGATGAACCACCCGACGGACGCCTGGAAAGAGGGACAGTTCAAAGACATCATCACAAAGGTACAGTTTGAGATCACTAACTTTGTTTTTATTTTACTGATTGTATTTATCTTTTCAGTTAAAATGACACTAATGTAAAATCTATAATGGACATTTCATGCTACTCCCATCCATTCTCTTCAGTTCAACTGTAATTTTATGTATTATTGCTTAGATTATTATATTATAAAAGGCTGCTATACTGCAAAATTAGAATCAGCCTCATGTCTCATGCTGCACTGTCCTCATCCAGTGTTAATCATCTTAAAATAGTTGTTTCTGAAACTCTCTTTCCCTCTGCACCCTGTGTAGGTGGCCAACGTGGAGCTGTACTACAAAGCCACCCAGTTCTATCTGGAGTTTAAGCCCTTGTTACTGAATGATTTGCTCATAGTGCTTTCTCCCAGACTGGACCACTCCCGTGCTGTCAACTTCTTCAGCAAGGTACACGTCAATACACTCTGATAATGATAAAGGAATATGATTGAAAAGTGCTTTGTTTGCCGGGATTGATATCTTGATTGTAATACATGTTCACAGGTGAAACAGCTGCCTCTGGTCAAACCATACCTGCGGTCAGTACAGAACCACAACAACAAATCAGTCAATGAAGCACTTAACAATCTCTTCATCACAGAGGAGGACTATCAGGTAAGAGGCAGGACCACGGTATTGAATCAAATCTTATTCTATCTCCCAAATGTAACCCTCCTTGCATTTATGTCACTCCTGTTAGGCACTGAGAGCATCAATAGATGCCTACGACAACTTTGACAACATCTCGCTGGCCCAGCGCTTGGAGAAGCACGAGCTGATTGAGTTCAGGAGAATTGCCGCCTACCTCTTCAAGGGCAACAACCGTTGGAAACAGAGTGTGGAACTTTGCAAGAAGGATAAGCTCTATAAGGTGCTTTCTCAATTTTCTTTTTCAATCATGGTTCAGTCATCACCACTTATATTTCAGATAAACTGCTATAATTAATTTGAGACTATTCCACAATCTGTCTGTGCTCTCCTGTCCCCCCTGCAGGATGCCATGCAGTATGCATCAGAGTCCAAGGACACAGAGCTGGCAGAGGAGCTGCTGTCCTGGTTCCTAATGGAGAACAAGAAGGAGTGTTTCGCCGCCTGCCTGTTTACCTGCTATGACCTGCTGCGGCCTGACGTGGTGCTGGAGACCGCCTGGAGGCACAACATCATGGACTTTTCTATGCCATACTTCATTCAGGTCATGAGGGAATACCTCAGCAAGGTGGGTCATCTATGTTCTTTTCAGGCTGGAGCTAAGTGAACTGTGAATTAAATGGTTTTGATTTAAATACAGACTTTATTTCTGTAAAAATGATGTTATCTGGTCAGAGACGAAAGCCGATGTGAATATCCACACACAATTCTCACCCACAATTTAATTTAAATACTTCATGATGGCTTTCTATTAGTCTTCCTTCTTTACCAGTTTTCTTTATGGGTGAAATTATTTAAATTTTCTTCTACTATGCTGCACCTCTTCTCTTCCAGGTTGATGCAGTTACAGAACAGGTGAAAGCTAAAAGCTATTAGTATTAAGCTTGGAAGACTGCAGCCTTGAGTGTGCATGGTTTTAGCTATACCACGCATTACACTCTCACTTCGACAGTCTCAAGACATCTTTCAGGCTGATGCATAGCATTTGTAGGGTGTCGTTGTAGATACAGTCTCTAATCTTAGGTTTTTTTCACCATATATATATATATATATAAATATATATATATGTGTGTGTGCGTGGGTGTCGATCAACGTTTCTTCCTTCTTTCTCGCGTGCAACAAATTGAGTGACAGATACACAGACTAGAGTGAAAGATGAGTTCTGGCGTTAGAGAGAAGGAACTTCATTGCATGCCACAACTGCAGCTGAAACTATGAAGTTTTAAGGACAATAGCAGAAGGGCGCAACAAATAGCTCTGCACACCACTACACAATACAGCAAAGTTGGACATCTCTTATGTTGTTATGAGACGTGTGAACATTTTTGGTTCATTATAGAACGTGGTGGACGACCACAGTTAGGATGATTCCTGGGAAACACTGAGATAGATAGATAAATAGAGATGACTACATGTATTAACCTGAATGCCGATTATTAAGCATAAAAATCTGTTATCCTCTGCATATTTCTGATTTTAATTTAGTTAAGAAACACATGCATATTATAATTGGCTGTAGGAATGTATAGTCATAAAATTTAAGCTTATGGATGAGGAACAAGTTGATGATGTTTTTAAGGAGAGGATATTACAAGAGAAAACACATGCATCCATTTCTTGGTGAGAAATGACTTAAGAATGACTTAAGAAGCAGCAACACATTAAACTATAAGTGAAAATAAAATACGTTGTCTATCCAGCTATTTCCTCACAGTCAGTGACACTACACAATATAAAGCTGTGTGTTTGTTTTTGTTGATGTATTTTGATGGTTATAACTTTAACTAACCGGAACAAGCATGCGTTACATGTAGAAGGAGCCTGTTGGTTGTGCCTGGTTATCTCGAGAAACCTTAGACCAGTAATATCAACCGTCACGAGACTAACCCTCCTCTCTGCATCGCTGTAACACACAAAGCATGGGATCGTGAAGCTTAAGCCTGTTGAAGCTGTGCAGAGAACAGAAATAATCTGCTGTTCATCAAAAAGAGGCATGGCAAAAGTGAATGATGAAAACATGCATTTAAGTGCACTGCTGAGTGAGCTCTTATTTTTAACTGTAGAAAACAATCTGCATCCACATGCTGCTGCTTCCCACTGAGGACTGATGCGTTTGTTGCTGCATCGGATATGCTGCCTGAAGACGTTCTTCTTTTTTTGTTTTGAAAGGTGTTTTTTTTTCGCTGTCAGTCAAGCCACAAAGAGGGATCCAACATAAGGAATGAAAATAATCAGTTGAACTTTATATTGTTGCTGCTGTTCAGTACAAGGTGTATGCATATCTGTGTAAAAAGCAAATACAAACGCAAATAGCTCTGGTTGAATCACCTTGTCTTCTGTTGGGTTTCATTTTGTCGTGCTTCTCAGTGAAATTTGCACAGATTGGTGAATCTTGTCAGAAAGGTTGTCACAGAGTAGTTGCTGAATACATGTAACTGTTTTTAAAACTTCTTTAGTGTGTTGTTTACTTGTAACATTGATGTGGCTTTGTCCTAAATGTACTGGTTTCTTCTCCCTGCAGGTAGATAAACTAGAAACCTCAGAGTCTGTAAGGAAAGAGGAGGAGCAAGCAACAGAGACGCAACCCATCGTCTATGGTAATGACATCTACTCTGTGTTATGATCAAATGCACAGTTGTTGTTCTACTTTCAATAAACCAGTAACAGATGATGACATTGGCATTTCATTGTTAATGTAATTAGGTATTTCTCTTTAGTATTAAATATTCATGAGCAACAAAGTCTTATGTAATGATTTATTAAGAGTTAAATACTAGTTTCAGTGTACATTAAGGAGACTGATATCTATGAGTGTGTATGCTCTCTACAGAGTGTAGTGTTCTAGTTGCTGCTTTATGGTCTCACAGCTGAAATACTAACTATATGTTGACAAAGTAGTTTGATTAAATGTTTTACATGTCTGACCCATTGTAGGCACACCACAGCTGATGCTGACAGCCGGCCCCAGCGTACCCGTGGCCCCTCAGCAGGCCTATGGTTACGGCTACCAGGCACCTGCAGGATACACTCAGCCACCAGCTCAGCCGGGCTTCGGCTACAGCATGTAAAGACCCCGCCTCCCCCCTCCTCTCCACATGTAGGCCGGAGCGACCATCCATCCATCTCCCACAGTCCTTCACCAGACCATTTCTGTTTCTCTGCCCTCTGCAGGGAGTTCGGGATAATACCGATAAACCTTTTTTTTTTCCAATTTTAAACTGTCATGAAGGACTCAGTTTTATTTGTCGTCAAAGAAAAGATTGAATCACAAAGATTAATTTTCTCACATTCCGTTTTGACTAGATTATTTTTTCTTTTGTCTATTTTATTTGATTGGGAAATGGTTTATGTACAACAGGGGGGCTTGTGAGAAGAGCTAGTCCTCTTCAAGTAAAAAAAAAAAAGGTCTGTTGTGAAGCATCTGATTTGCACTCTGTAGTGAAAAGAAATTAATGTAGAACCTCTTTTTCCTTTTGTGTGTGTGAGCAGCTTCTTCTGTCCGACTGTAAAATGCATTTAATTATTGTATATTCAGACACACAAACTGCTACTGTGTTCTTCTATATTTGAACATGAGACTGCCGCTTCCATTGACCACAGTCCTGAAACACTACGTCGAACCTGTCAAGTCCCCCAAACTCACACTTCAGGTTTATTTCTTGAAGAAATTCCAAGAGAGTATTTTACATACGATTTTCAGGAAAGGTTCTTTCTTTCCAGCAAAGCCTATGCAGGACTCTCTAAACAAATCTGCAGTCCCATGACATCGCCATGTGCTTTAAACACTGCTCTAACATGGGACCATTTCGTCTCAGGAGGTACTGCAGACCTGTTTGACAAACACGCCCCGTGCCCCCTCTTTATGCTGCAGTTTGTGTCTGCTGGATATCTGTTATTGAGGGTGCAGGGGAGATTTTTCAAACCATACGCTCCTCACATTCTGTCGAGTGTCGCCTTTAGCTTTTTCAGTTTAACCCGCTCATCCTGTTCACAAACAGTATCACAGACTTGTGAGGAATTGAAGTTTTTATTAAAGGCTTGCGTGTATACAAGAAATCAATCATTAACTCCTATGAGCTTATATTCTTATCTAAATTACCTTAGATTGAAATTGTGCACTTAAGATACTTGATTGTGCATTATCAGGATCATAATGAATGAAACAGCAGTTTTGTTTTCCACTTAACAATAAAGGCTTCTTGTTTGTCAAGAGCAGTCTGCTTGTGTCTTGAATATACTTGGTTGTTTTCTGTCTCTCAGAAAGGGAAGTGATGTCACAGCAGAGCAATCAGAGGCTGTAAAGTGCAGAGAGCAGATCATGTTTGTAGTCCAAAGTACCATCGTACAAAACAATGTGATGACTTCATTTCCAAACCAGAGTGTTCCATTTTCCCACCGTGCAAATTTACAAGGCAAAGGTGAAGCTGGGAGTCGACCCGATCCAAACAAAAGATCACAGGAAACGCGCTGTTGATTTTGTGTCGCTCTCAGTCAAAGGCAACAGCAGGTGGAGCTCAGTCTCAGTGACTGGTGCTAGTGTGCTCACATCCTACAACCACCTCACTGGTTCACCCCCACAGAGGTTTTAAGAACGCAGGTTTTTGAACATGCTACTGATTCTACTTTACCTTTAAAACCAACTAGTAACAACTGAATCTGGTACAGATCACGTTTGAATTTCATTGATGGAGTGGTTGTTGAAGCTGCACTCTGGTGTTTGGATTCTGTTTGTAACATCCTCCTTTTGCTTTGTCTAGTCTGTGTAATGTCTGTTATATGAATATATAAATATCTGATATAAAACCCAATGGAGATGTAGTACTAGCACCCTCTGATGGTAAAAATCAAGTAAACCAGTCTGATCTGCCGAGATGCAACCATTATGACCTCATCTCAAAACATTGGCACCTAATGTTTCTATTTGAAAATAGAAGTGGAAGCACTCAGAGCCTACACCTCTGATCCATTTAAATTCTCTAGATCCAGGTTTTTATTTGGATCTGCAACCTTAAATATACCTTGTTCTTTATGTAAAGATCCATGAATCTTTGATCTGCACCGAAATCTACTGGATTCATCCCTGATGCATATCGTATCCTTCCACCAAGTTTCCTAGTAATCCTGAGTTGGTTCTGACCCCCTCCTTGGTGGCAGTAACATTGAAGATCAACTATTTCACAGTTGAAGCTAATGAGGCTGATGACACCAGGAAAAACACTTAAGATATTTCATAGTTTTATAACAAAACCTAAATGATGTTCAGACACAATATTAATATTAGATCCATCCCATCCTAGTGGCTCAACAGCTGCGATGTGAAGTAATGTGAACTCACACTGTTTATTGTGGTGACCTGCAAGTATTTAATACTTTGCAATATGAAGAGACTTTTCTAATTTAATTTCAATTTATTTTGTAGATTGATTTTTGTCACTTAGAGGATTATAACTGTCATTTAACAGTGCTGAGATTTTAATGAAACCAACAACAACATTGTCTTCATCACATGTCACAGGACAATCAGCAAAGAAACACGCATGAAGCTGTTATTACTGATCCAAGAGTCATCGGACTTCTAAAACACAAATGTTGTCATATAAAAATACAAACTCAATATAGCTCAGCTGCGTTTAAGTTGGAAATTGTTTTATCTACAAAGGAACTTGTTTGAGTCCAACAGGTGGAAGCTGGAACTCTAGTAGAGCTTCAGGTCTCCACTGACACTATCAATCAGATCAGCCGGGCCTGGACCGATCCCCAGCACAGTGCGGGACCCTGGTGCAATTTGTGTCCGTCCTGCGTCCTGGATCAGGCTGACAGGAAGCCCGACCTCTTTGGCGTGACCCAGCAGATCGATCAGGGTGTTCTCATCGGGGGCCTTCACCACCACCTTGGGCTGGCCGCAGTACTCCCACTGTTTGAGAAGCTCGGGGTTCCTGCGCTGGACCTGCTTGTACGCCGACACGGCAGCGTGGGAGCATTGGGCGGCCACCTTTCCTTTGCCCATCTTCAGGTCGTTACGGACCACCAGAACCATCTTGAACTCGCCTCCTTCTCCCATCACACTCGCCTCTCCGGTGCCGTTCCCCATCGCCGCCATCATGCTCTTGGATGCAGGGGCGAAGCGTCCTCGAAGGTGCCAACCGAGAAGGAGCCCGCATCCCAGTCCTGCTACCACACCCAAACCCAACGGACCGTACAGCAAATCCATGTTTACACCTGCAAACAACAACAGCACAGAATAAGTCACAAATATGCACATATGAGGAAGTTAAAGATAGACACATATATGCTTTCGACCACAATCACACCGTCTTCCTCACCAGTCATTCACATGTAGATGCTCAACTCTTCATTCCTTTTGTATTTAATGTTGGCTTCACAAACTGACAAATTCAACAGGCACAAACATTAACAACAACAATGTCGGACTAAATATGCACAAATACAAAAATCATGAACCTAGTCAAAAGTAATTACAATGAAAATGTTAATTAAATCAAATTTTTCTTTGGGGACTAATTAAGTGATACTGCTGATGACAGATATTCATATGATAGTGGGGCTGTTCCTGTATTTATCAGTTTCAAAAAAATCTGACTAAAGTGACAGTTCTTTCACAAATAAAGTGAATCTCGGGGTGGTTCTTAGAAATGTACATTTGTGAAGGACAACTTTGGCGAATATCACTGAATCATCATAGTGAAATTCATCCATTACAAGATCAAATCTCATTTGACTGAATGTGACAACTGGCAAGAACAAGATGTAGGTTAATAATCATTCCAAAACTAAGTAAAGAGAAAATAAAAAGCTCTAACAATTGTATTTCTGTTTTACAGTGTGCACAGTCATGACAATCAATACTGAATATTGAGGATTAGAAAAGATAAATATCATGCATCGTTTTAAACTGCACTTCTTTAGTTTATGGTGACAAAGGAGAGCTGAGGTATCTGCAGCTGATTCTCCTGGAGATTGCAGTTCCTCAGTGAGGGCTTCGTTTTGAGACTTGAAGGAAACAAACTGAGATCAACGTTCATCCAAAGAAGTTCCACAGCAGGAACTTTGTTATTTAGAGTTATTTCCCTCGAGTTGACATGAAACAAACAGCACCGGACCTTGCTGACTCTGCCTCTCATCACCTCCCGCCGCTCCTGTACAAACCGTCCTTTACACTGACGAACACTTCGCGGGTTAACGAGCTCAAACTAACTTTAGAGGCTGAAACTAGCCTGGCTAACGTTAGCTCCCTGGCTAAAGGCAGCAGCGTTTAATGTCCCAAAGAGCGCTTCAGCCCAGTGAATCTCACTCCACCACCCAGCAGCCTGGCGGTCACACGTGTCACCGAGTCATCGGGACAACAACAGTATCAATGCAGTGGGTTTAATTCAAACCTGCTGGAGACATCAGACGACCCGGTCTGCTCCACTCTACGAGGCCCTTGGTGATGACGTCACAACAGCGCGACTAGAGAGACACGTTTTTTACATGTAAACTGTGGGAAGATACTTGTGGATTTGTCTTGGGTAATATTTTGTCTGACTTTCTTCTTCTACTGGAAAATGTCATTTTAGGTTTTTTTTCCCCAACTCTACATACAAATAGAATATTAAGAGTAGATTTCACAGGTGTTAATGTAATGGTTGAAAAACACACTTTTATATTTAAAAAAAGGAAATGCATCTTTATATTGCATCAATATCTCTGGCAAAAAAATAAACAACACTATGTACATTTCACAGGTGTTAATGTAATGGTTGAAAACTCACATTTATGTTTTTTATGTTGCATCAATATCTCTGGCAAAAAAAATAAACAACACTATCACGACTACGGAACTGTGTGTCCAAGTGAAGTTACTTTGTTTTATGGAATCCCTGGTATGTGTTTTTCTGTTTTATCTTCATTTGAATTCATACGTTTTAATCTGCCTTAGTTTTCTTATGTGTATATCTCTATATCTGTGTTAAGTTGAATTATTCCTGTTTGTCTGAATGTATTAAGTGATCAACAGTAAGTAAGATAGAAAAAGAGGAAGAAGTGCAACTCAGTGCATTCCTCCTCAGACAAGCTTCTTGAGATTGTCATTTGTCCTATATTTGGCACCTGCTGAATTCAAAATCACCCCAGAATATAACAGACATCATATTCTATAAGATACACATCGGGGGTGAAGTTTTATTCTTGAAGTATACTTATTAATTTAAGCATAATGCATGAACATTGGTTCTTCATCTGTGTAGATGGTGAATTTCAGAGCTGAGCAGAAAATGGACAGTGAGCAAGTCACATTTTTGCCATGATGACAGTACAGTACAGTTCATTCATACTTTTATCTTTATTTTGATATCTGGATATGTTTTTTATGCTCAGTCATTTTGCTGTTGAGCTACATATTCTCACCGTCTCTGTATTTATGGTCCTCTCTCAAACAAGTAGTCATAGAGCTCCCTCTCCTGTCTGCAGCTGGTCTCAGCCTCACTAGGTCCTCAGCTCAACACTCATATTCACCACACACACTCACAAACTGTTTTTTGTTGACAGATTGTATATTGTGAAACAAGACTGGGAATGAAAATCATCCATATCTTGTCCTGAGATACCCATTCTTCACTCACTGTTGTGCAGCAAGTGCTGGAATGTAATGATGTAGTTTATTGATTTGCTTGTAACTTTCACTTTCAATCCACCACACATATCAGCAAACATTGTTTTTTTTACAATGCACAGCTGTGTTACATGTTGATGTGTTTTATATTTCTAATCATCAATGGGAGGGGAATTAGTCCATTGATCCAATCAGAGCTGACAAGTAACATTAGGCCCCGCCCCCTTCAATGACAGCAAATTGCACCTTCAGCAGCATCATCACTGGTGAAGAAGAAACACCTGACGTGGGTTCAGAGGAAACCACTGCCAAGACTCATGATGATGAAGTAGACATTGCATCAGGGAATAAGCTACACTCTGCAAGTAATGTATTACTTATTACTAATCCTTTTTTTTGTCTAATTGTCCTCAGAACTTTACATTGACTTCAATTCATTGTGAACAGCTTACTCAAGACCTTATTCCTAACCTCAACCATTATCAATTCATGGCCGGCCCAAACCAAAACCTAACCACAATTCACATTTTACTACTAACCTCAACCAGGACATCAGAAATGACATCTTGTCTCATTCTGACTAGACTATGATTCAAGTTTAGGGTGAGACCTAAACCTAACCATAACTCTATATACTCCCTTGAGGTCTACAAGTATTGACAACATCAGTGTTTATGTTAGAAATTAATTATATTATTTTACAATGCGAGACTATGAACTGCTTGGTAAATTAAAAAAAGTGGTATCAAAACTATTATTATTTAAGGCTCTCTGAAGTTTACATCAGACTTTGGGACGTAACCGATCCTGCGTAAATACAGGCTGTGCATGACACATATATCATCTATATTTAGCTTGTATAAGAAATTAAAGTAAGCAAATTCAATATGTACAGCACCTTTCTCACAAAGTGCTTCTACGTTAAGTTTATAAACTTTCATTTAAATGTTGTAAATGAGACAAGAGGTTGTCTCCTATTGAAACTTACTCTCACTTCATATTTTTTATATTTGTCAGTAACTCAAAAACTCAGAAACAACTTCCATCAGTGGGAACTGAGTGACCTGGTGGAGAACAATCCCCAGAAAGTGGTGCGGAATACTTCTCTCATGTTGATAAACAAGTCGACATGGAAATACCAATGAGGTCTTCTGTCTCTAGTTATGAAAAATATGCAATGTCCTGAGGGGAATTATCCAAGGTTCTCTTTGCCCAAATGCCATCCATACACTCTTTGTGTGAAACCCACAGAGGATGGAGAAGTGTTAGAAGCATGCTCCAGGAAAGACATCTATTTATTTATAGACCTGTAATTAGACTGGATCTCTGGAGGTTCGACCGGGCAAAAGATGAAATCTCTCCCTCTTTCTGTGTCTCTCTTCTGTCAGCCTGCTCTCCCCTCCCCCGGCAACCCTATATCAGTTCTCTATCCCTCACTGGCCCCCTCCATCACCACACCCTGCACTCAAGTTGTGATGCAGTTCATGGGTAGCTTACTTCTGCCCTACATTGCCACTGGGGCTCCACAGATCTCACATGAGCTCAGATCTCACTGTGGATCAAGCATCAGCTGAAAGGTGAGTTTACTCTCTATATATTTTTGTTTTACTCAGCTTACAATAGGCTGTTACACTGCTGCCCCTGCTTTGTTTTACACAGTGTGGGTCTGAAACTCTCCAGTGCAGTGTTTTTATCTCAGTTTGACACGTGGAAACTGATAACACCTCATTAGATTTCTCATCCTGGAGTGTACGTGCTCTGTCTTGAGTTTCTTATTGTCCCTTGCACAAGAGTTACTCAACAGGTCTGGGTTGTTTTGGTGGAAGCTATTGCGCAATCAAGTGTGCAGCAGCAGTGCTGTGCTACCGTGTCTCACAAGCAGGGGTGTTGTTATGGAACTGTTTATATACATTTCTAATAAAAGTTATTGCTATGTAGAATAAAGCACATATTTGTATTTGTGCCGGTTTCACACAAATCAACCTTTTTGGCACCAATTTCTAAAGTTCGTTTTGTTTGCAGACTGTTCTCCTTAGTACAAGTGGAGTAATGATAGGGTATATTAAATAATATAGTGCATGAGGAAATGGCACAGTGCTTTTACAGTGTGCTCAATTCTTAAAAGTCTTTGATGAAAAACTTTAGTTTGTGGTTCCCGAAGAGGGCCAAGAGTGGCTCTCCAAATGCTTTTCAGTTGAATTGTCGGAGGAGATTTTTATTTATCTCTGTCAACCTTCAATTGAACGAGTCAGACTGCAGTGTACTCGCAGCCTTGTTGTTCAGTGCTCAGACTGCGTGTGTGTTTGTCCTTCAGGATAACACTGAGCACAGAAACACGCTGCACCTACATAGGGATGGGATAGTTGTTTTGTTACTTGTCATACAGCAAAATTAAAAAAGAATATTTGAAATGTCACTGCTGTTGCAGAAAATAATCAGAAGTTATCACTGCTCGCTGTGAGATGTAAGTGTGAATGCACGGAAACAGGAGCCAGAGGCCCAAACCTAGGGCACAGGATGGAGAGATTAAACCTGTGTGTGTGTGTGTGTGTGTGACTGACAATTCCACCAGATGGTGAGCTGCATACCTCCGTGTCAGAGTCCCCATCTCACTGCTCTCTGACAGATTCCTAAGAGGCCCGAGGCTCTGTAGTGAGACATTCGCGGGCATGTGTATGAAGATGTGTCCAGAGATGTGTCTCCTCTGAGTGAATGTGATGAAGAAACAAAAAGCTAGAAATTGCTGCACGTTCTTTTACCCATTGTCTCCAGATCAGCAGGGGATGCAGACTTATAATTGAGTGCACACAGAAACATTTACTTGAATTAGGCCTCATTAGGCCATGTACAGGCCTGATTGGGTTCCCAGTTATCTGCAGGATGAAGCAGCAGGGAAACACTGGCTGGTCAGCTGGCCTGTGGGAGTGTACGCAGACATGTTTCAGTGTGTTTGGGGTTGCTGTGTGTTGTTGAATGTGAGTCTGGGAACGAGTCGGTTTTGGATTTGGCAAGTGTACTAAAGGCTGTCCATGATGACCCTCTCTTCTCTCAGCAGCACTCCTTTGTGGTGAACGAGATGGCAGAGCACGAGGATGAACTCTCTCAGAGGCATGTTGGCGTCCAGGAACAACACAATGGAAGGCTGACAGGTAAAAACAGGCATCAACGTACAAGCACATCTGCACCATCTTTGAAAAGACATGAAAGCTCCTGTTGTATTTGCATTATATTTTTGGGGGTGTCAATCTTTTGTATGTTTATTTGTGTGCATGTAGACCCAGAGTGTCCTGTGGATGAGACAAAGCCGAGGGACACGGAGGAGCAGGAAACCCCGGTGTTATGGAAGAGACCTCTACTAACGCTCTACTACTTCAGCCTGGAACTGCTCATCACTCTCAAAGAGTGGATACAGAGGTGAGGCCAGAGGTGGGGTTTGGCTGGCTGCAAATGATGAATCTAGAGAGTTAGAACTATGTTCTAACCTACTTAGTGAGGAACTTTGAAAAAATGTTTGAAGAAATTCAGTTTATGTCTTTTGCATGAATCAAGCTGCAAAAAGCAAAAAAAGAAACTTGGTTGTCACTTGGTTTAGTCATACTATACAGATAATGATTTGAATATGTTCATGTGCTGCTGTAGTGCTGACAACAGCGAAACAGTGTTCTTGTGAGTTAGTTATGGTGTTGGTTGTTGTACTTCCTTCACTGACACACAAAAACACACACACTTTGCCCCAGACAGGAGGTGACACAGCCTTCTCCGTCACTGTTTAGTCTTCAGTTAGAAACCAAATGAAGCCTGCAATGCTGCACAGATCATAAATCACAGGATTAGCTTTTCCTCTTTTCCTTGTGACTGAACCTCACCCACTTTTTAACAGCACCAGACTGTGCAACACGTCTTTTGCACACCTAATAATCTTTGTTGACAGCGAGAGCCCGAAAGAAGGTCAGCGCGTTCTCCCAGGGAGGCCTCTGTGGTTAAGTGTGTGAGGACAACGTGTTTATTTTCTAAACTACAAGAGGATGTGGTGAGCCGCAAGCACCGTGAGCAGTGTTTTGACTGAGAGAAGCTGCTGTTCACCGACACTAAAAACACATGCAGTTGTAAATGCTGAAGGGGGAGGGCATGCACCCACAACACAGCTACAAGCATACAAAGACATTTATCCTAAATCATGAAGTGGTTTTTAATCTATAGCACGTGTACAGGCGTCCTCGGGGCAACATACTGTTCAGGGGCTGTGGCTCTGCCCTTGTTTTTCTTAAAAATGTAGAGCAGGACCTTTACGTACATCCAAGAACATTCAGGTCCTCGCAAAACGAGTTCTCACAATGCTGGTTACACCCATCACTGCCAAGTGAATCTATCTCAATTTCACGGTATACAACAGTTTTAAATCGTGTGTCTGTGGCGACATTCCTGCTCTTGCACACTTCATTCACACTGACTAAATCCTGTCACCACCAGCAACATTTTCGAACTGCATTAAACCCTGATACACTACAGCAAAGTCCGCTTAACAAAGACTTGGGGAACCGTTCTTTCTTGCAGAGGGTCATATCATTTTTCATAAACGTCCTTCAAGGGTCATATTAAATAGTAAACACAGAACTTCTCTAATGTGATGGCTAGAACTGCTTCTTTTAGCCGATGTCAAATGGTAGTTATGAGGATGATGTTGTGTGAGTCTTCCACGTTTGGGTCGGTCTGTCTTGAGCAGAACTGAGTCTTTGCAAAGATCACGTCAAAAAAAGCACTCTACAGTTTATAGAACTTGCGCAGAGAGAGCTTGTTGTAGCTCCTGTACCTTTGAGAACATTGCTCAATCATTTTCCGTTGTAAATCCAGCAGCCGGTTTCACATTAGCGTCCACACCTTTAATGTGGAATGTTCAGTTTCTTTTGGTCACTTTTCATGTTATGACATATCTTTCCAAATATCTGAAGGACCTGTGAACACTCACCAGGATATTCAGATGTCTCATTCTGCCTTGACTTGTGCACAACAGGAAAATGCACACTGTAATCCTTTTCCAGTTGCACTTGCCACAACCTAAGACCTTCTTCTGAGTTAAGATTTGAAAACAGAGAGAGAAGAAGATGATCAGGACCATGAAACCTTTGGTAGTGCCAAAAACAGCAATTCCTTCCTCATTTCATATGCAGTGTAGTTATCACATGCACAAAAATCCCTAGTTAGGTGATATTTGTTGTGTTTGCTATGTTAAGTTTGACATGTTAGTGTAATGACTAATGCCCCTTGACTGACCTTTTCATCACAGCAACTGTGTCCCTACAGGACTTACCTTTTACTACCTTCCATGTTACCTTTACTAACAAAATGAATAGTTCATAGTGATATCATGAGAAGTCAATGCAACATTCTGAAAAAGCAGTCCTTGTTTTTCTGTTGTAACTTAAATACCATAAGTATCACAATGTTGTCTGAACATTCAGACAACCAAAATTCAATATACTAACTGTGTCCCAGAACATTTTCGCAGAGAGGAGTTAATACATCAAACTTATCCAAGTGCCTCAGAAGCTGTGTCTCAATTTAGGAGCCACATCCTTCGTCTGCTGCATTTATAGACTAATTGCGTCACAGCGGCGTGATTAAACTGTCCCGACTTCTCCAAATGTGGCCGACAAATGTGTTCTTCCAGCCCCGAGCAAAAGAGGCTCCACTGGGTGGATCCTTCCCGGCACAAGATATCCAATGGTTCACTGCACTTAGGTGAAGATCTGTTTTTCAAAGCAAAACTGTTAGAAAAATGAACTTTTAAACGTAACTACTCAACTGAACAGCTAACAGTACACATGTTGAATAATCATGTTTTCAGCACTTTTAATCCACCAAAGAACATTTGCGTCCTTAGCTTTGTTGCTAGGCAATGATTGTAACGGCAGGACAAGCTAGTGACGCACTCAAAAGACCAGAGCGTCTCTTATCGGTTTGGCTGACGCGGTTTACTCGGCTGTTGGACGATGCAGAAGATGTCGGCTGCGTAGACCTGGTCCTTCGCAGGATGCGGCTGCTGAATTGAGATAGCGAGATTCAGGCATGAATCTGATCACATGATTCAGGGTTTATTTTCAAGTCTTATATTCATATTAGCAACAGGTTTTCAAAATGCACATATCTGGAAATCTCACCACTGTTGTTTAAATGGTGGCACACATTGTTGCTACAAACACATGCACACATTATAATTTATTTATGATTTAATTTATAATTATAATTTGTACTATTACTATTACACGGAAGAGGATTAGGGCCATTATGGAAAAAAAAAGTGAGTTCTGACTTTAATCAGTAATTTAAAAAAGATAGATGGGTCGGCCCAGAAATCCTAAAAACAAATAGATGCTCTTTGCCTTCTCTGTCATGTGACCCTAATGCAAATAGTATGTTTGACCTTCTGTGTGGACTTCAGGTGAATCATTGAGCCGGCATGATGACGGACGGTGGTAAAGTGACAATCACTGTGAGTAATAATCTCCACATTTGCTTCAGAACAACGCGCAGCTTCTCCAATTTAAATCTCAGTAGCGCCATGATGCTCCATGTGGCTGTCACGTGCGCCAGCCTTAGCTCACTAGCATGCCTGGCTAACCTAACCTGCAGACGGCCGTTTGGGAGCAGCTAATGCTAGCTTCCCTCCAGTGACAGGGGATTTTAACAGAGACAGACTGAGCTGAGACAGTGTGGAGTGAGACCACAGTGAGACAAGGAGCAGGACAGCAGGTGAAAACAACCAGTGCTTCAGAATGAATGTGACGCGAAGGACGTCTGCTGTCTCACAAGTGTTTCTGAAGTTGGACGTAGGCTAATGATTAGCTCAATTAGCTAGAAACGAATTGATGAGCACAGGTTATTATATACACCAATAGTTAGTAAATTCATTTCATGTTTCATATAATGTTAAAAAGTGTTGTGGGCAAACCCTAAAAGTAGTATTACACAGCCTTGTCAAGTGAAATACTTAGACATAGTTAAATTGTGAAATGTGAGATGCTAAGTCCAGAAAACATAATCAAGTAATTCCACAGTATTTCTGATGTTTTGAATTTGTTCTGTATTCTCACTAACTAAGACTGAAACCGCGATAAACTGTCCCAGTCATGCATCATGATGAAAGTTGATTAAACCGTGATATTCCAACACCCGTTAAACCCTTTTTACTACTTTTACCTGCCACGTTTATTTGTGGATATTAGATTTGATGGGACTCATTAATAAACTATAATATATAATATACTTATTTATTAATATACTTATGTACTAATATAATTAGTGTAGAAAATATTGTCAATGTGTTTGTGCTTTTTGTGTGTGTTAAGTTAAAGTAAGTACAAGCTAATTTGTTGCGTAAGTGTTAAGTTTGTTAGTGTTTAAGTTTAAGGCCTTAAGTTATTGACTCGTCATTAATCTGAATTTATTCTCTCATAATACCACTCACTCATTTATTTTGAATACTTGTTAAAGTTCAAGTTTGATCATCTGCCTTTGTCTGACTTGCATCCATTGATAATGTTATCTTTATTTTAAACATGTTCACAATAAAACAACCCAACTCTGAACCTTTGGTAATACAGCATGAAGGGGTTATGTGATGTGTTTGTGCAGTTTATTGATCACACGTCTGAAGTTCAGCTGTGATCATGCTGCTCCTGTTGGTGAAGACTTGTGCTGTAGTGGCTCAGTTTCCAGCAGATGTCTCTCTCCACCAGAGGAGAATGTGAAAATAGCACCCTTGCCTTTTAGTAATACTTACTCAGAGTTTCAATGATTACTTATATTTACTCATTATTCACATTCTTTCTTCTAACTATGTATTCTGTTCACCTCTACGTCCTAACACTGAAATTCATTATTTCCACCTTTATTCTCCCTCTCTCCTTCATCCAGGCTCTGGCAGCAAAGACAGACTGTGATTGGCGTCCTGATCCTGCTTATTCTCCTCTCCATTGCCTACTGTATTGAAGGGACACACCAGCAGGTGACTGAATACTGTAAATGTTTTTTATAGCATATTATGACCACACAGGTGCTGCGGAGGGTCAGCAACTTAACTCATGTCCACCACCTTGTTAGGCTGACCTGAAGTGTGAATCTGTACAGTAGTAGTATGTCATACAATTTCATAATCTCTTTAATTCGCCGGGCACTAAATCATGGACGTTTTTGAAACTGCTTTCAGACGTGCTCTGAACTCTGGAGAATCTCCTGACGTTCTCCGGACGTGTTAATATTGCCCCACATTATTGACCTGCAGATTGAGATTCATGCTGCAGAAACAACATCATCTCTCGCAAGTGCGTGAGCACACTAGATCACATTTGCTTAATTATTAACCTCCTACATTTAATTGTATTTGCTGAGTTCTTAAGTCCACAAAGCAAACAACAAGAGCTCGGAGTGTAACCCACAGCAGACCTGTGCTATAGATTCAACTAGAACCTCACTTTTTTCCCCTTGTGTTTTTTCCTGTCATGATCAGTAGTATTTTGAAAACCATAACCATGAAACTCCTTCTTTTTTATGTTATGCAGAAACTCTTGAGGTTGTATAATCAGTTCCCAGTAACTACACGTAACAATCGCCCACAGCATTGCACTTAATTGTGTTCTGCCAGTAAATAGAGGTGCAGTTTGCACAGTTTTTGTTTTGCCAGGTTTCCTGGGAAATTGAGTCTTTGGTCAGAGCTCACCCCATTCCCCCACTTGTCAATTTCCTCTACCCCTCAGTCCCCTCCCTTCTTCCCGAAATCTACACACTATGTGCTTCCTCCTGAAAACAACCTGCCTCAGCTTGAGGAAGGGTGTGTGAAAATAGGGTGATAGATGGAGTGATAGTGGTGGATGAAGGGGAGGAAGAGGAACAGAGAGAGAGAGAGGAGAGCTCTTGGCTTGACTTACTTTACTAGTTGTGTAAGAGCATTCCTACCCTACGGCTCTGTCCTCCAAACTCAACAACAACCTCTGTCTCCAAATGTCTCTCTCACTCTCTTCTCCTCCCTCTCTTTTGCTACAACTCACTTGCCCTCTCTCACCCTCTAAAGTGCCCTCTGTATTGCACATTTTCACTCTCGTACCTTCTCTCACTCCGTTTTTGTCCCTCCCCTCCTCTCTCTTTATGCCCCCCCCCGCCCCCCTCAGAACACTTCTTGTTTTCCTCACACTCTGTGCATGTGTCTCTGCCATGTGGTTGACCGTCCCTCTCTCTGGCCTCTGCAGTATGTGCATTACATGGAGAGGAAGACGCTGTGGTGTGCCTACTGGGTAAGCCTGGGCATCCTGTCTTCCGTGGGTCTTGGCACCGGCCTGCACACTTTCCTTCTATACCTGGTAAGACAACATTTTTTGTGTTTCTCCACAACAAGTTGTTTCCCACTTCCACACTGCAGTTCTTCATTTCATGACAGAGCTGAAATTCAAACACAGTGTATGATGGTGGTTGTGCTGTGACGCAGCTCTAAAGGCTGTGTTGATTCTGTTGTTAGATTGTTCCTCAGGCTTTAATAAGAGCATTATTAAAAGCTTTCAGAGGCTCCTCATGCACTTGCACATGCATATGTGCATTCAGAGTGGGATGGAGATGAATAGACGCTGTGGTAGCCACACTGTTTTGACAGGCAGTCCAGGAACAATCGCACTCACTGACCCCTCTGACTGAGTGCACATGAGGATAAAAACACTCTCCCTCCCCCTTTCTGAGTTCTTTCTCTTTCCTTTCACCCCGCTCTCCTGCTCCCCACTGTGTTGCTCACTCTCACTTTCTCTTACACTCCCTCCCCTCATCCGTTCTCCTTTTTATGTCTTTCCCTTGCGTACATACCCCTTCTTCCTCCCCCTTCAATTCTCCTTCCTTCTCCTTCTGTTTGTGTGTTTCTGTCTGTTTTCAAGTCTGTTCGTCTCTCCACGTGTTAGCTCAGTTCTGAGTGTAGGGAGGTGTCGGGTCGCCACTGCTGATCAGATCATGGTCTCCAAACATCTGCCTGTCTTCATTGCTCCGAGTCCATCTGTCATCAGGGAGTCCACTGTCGCACTTGTGTGCCCTTGCCCAGTGGAGCTGAACTGGAAACTTTGAAATGCGTGTCCTTCATTCTGCTGTTTTTAAAAGCCAGACTGTGCTGCTCCAAAATGTAATTTGAGAGTTGTTTTTTTTAACTCTATGGCTCACTTCTCTGGAAGGTTTAAAGTGGGATGTCACCATCTAGTGAGCGTAGCTGCAATAGCAGCTTGTGGTGTCATCGGGTTCATGACAGAACTTGGTGCTCCTAGCTGGAGTTGCCGTGGTGCATTTTTTATAGAGTTTGACTGATATTGTTGTTTTTAAAGCCGATACTGGTGCAGATATTTTTTATGTAGTCCTGTGATAGCTGATGTTTGTGGGTATGCTGTATGTTTAAGTACATTTTAGTTTTTTATTTGATATGCACCTCATTAAAATCACACTTTTCCACTAAAATTACTGAATGGAAATGCCTCTGAAATGGAATATGAACCATGAAACATGTGCACATAGCAGTAAAACACAGACTGACAAACCTGAACCTGTTGATTGAAATTTAGCTTGTGGAATGACTGCTCTGTCCAAACACCTAGATGACCTGATGTCGGTGAGGACAACAAATTGTTGATGCAAGTGCTGTGTATTGGCCTTTGTTGTTTTTATTTAGAATACTTGTGTAATTTTTGCCTTTTTTCAATAGTTGAATAGTTGAAACAGACAGGAAAGCCGAGAAGACAGAGGGGGATTTAACAAAGAGTCAAACCTTAATATGTTGTGGTTACTTGTATGAGTTTGAACCATGAGGCTGTCAGATCTAGTATCTGTTTCCTCTTTATAACTGTGAGACTAAGCCACAAGCAAGAAGCACAAACCTGACCTCAGAGAATTATAATGATATATCTTCTCTTCTGTAGAGCCACTGTTTAAAGAAGCCATTGAGATTCCTAAGTGATTCTGTAGATTTCCGGGTCCTGACAAGATATTTCTGTTTTCTGACAGTCAAAGAAAAGTTAAAGAATTTCTGTGGTAAGTGAACTCTGTAGAGAGCCAGCAGACATGTTGTCCTGTTTTCAGCTACTAGGACTGGGTCAGTGATTATAACTGTGTCAAACAAGTTCAGAACACTTGCTAAGATGTCCCCACAAATTTAAAAGCCTTAACACTCACAGCTTTGAATTCTGGCACAGTTTTTCATCCTTTCCATAAGACTTAATAATATGCTAGAGATGCGAAGTGAAGTGGGCCTGGGTGTTTACCAGCTCTTGACTTTGATTTACGCCCATGTCAACATTTGGAAAGAACACTACCACAATTATTCTGTAAGTGGTATACAAGTGCACCACTAGAGATATACAGCAGCTCAGGGGAGAGACTCGGTGAACTTTTACTGCACAGCTTCTCATTCAGTCTGAAGTTTGGTACAACACCTTAATGCTTTTTCCCTTGACCGTGAGTAACTAAGATGCTGCGTTGGTCATGTACTTGACCAGCAGTAATTTAACAGCAATAGTTTTGATAATTCATTAACCATGTTAGTTATTTTTAAGCAAAATTGGCAGGAAAATCCTCTGGTTCCTAGAAGGTGATGTGTCCTATTTTTCCTCACTCTTCTATGATATTGAACTGACTGACTCTTTTGGTTGGTTGGTTGGTTTTGGACTGCATGTGCATTGGACAAGATGTCACCTTGGGCTCTAGAAAAGTGTAGTGATTATTTTAGGTCAAATGATTGATTCAGAAAATAACCTGTAGATTAATCACTTTAACATCAGTTCCAGTCGGAAGATGCAAATTGTATTTTTCCCCTCAAAATTTACAAAGAACAGGTTCAAGCTATGCCCTAAATCTCATTGGATTCTGCACTGTGAGTTGGACAACATTCAAAGACATCAATAGCTCTTGGAGCTTGTAATGGCAAAAAATTATAATAAATGAAGCGAACCCTGCGAGCTAGTTCAGGCAGCCAACTCAAACTGCGCTGCTCCAATCATGTGACACACATCATGTGACATACCTCAYTCTCCACAATCATCTATTATACACACCAACCTTATTAGGCGGCCTATTTAAGCAGAGGGAAATTTCCCATCAACCCCTTTGCTCGCACTGCTGCTGCAGTATCGCTACCAGTTGCTTCAGCCCTTCCACCCCGCCCAGCAGCCACCTGTAGGCTCCAACGGGGGTTATAAGTATCTGCTTGTCACTCCCATCATATCTGTGTAATCATATCGGTGCAGTGATTAAGTCGGAGCCTAGATGCCAAACACAAACCTCTTCGACTGCTGTAATAAACATTTGAACGTGAGTTGTCTGACTGAAATAACAGATTCATGATAACAAGTACACTAGTTGACCTTGCAGTCCTAAAGATACTCCACTGTTGCACATTACAATCAAATCTACTTTAATATTTGCCAGTGTCAGCCAGTCTGTAATTAACGGAAACTTTTGTCAATAACAATAGATTCACAAATTATCATTAAGGTTATCGCTGACCCAGGTCATCACTATTAACAGTCACTAGAGGGTACCAGTGATCCTATAATGTTGACAAACCGGAAGAATCTGTGCAGATCAACATTGTAGTGTTTGACAAGCAGTGTGGATCATTGTATTGGTACCAACTATCATTTTAATTACATAATATATTGTATATAAATGATATATAAAATGAAGCTCTGGAAAAGCACAAATGAACTTGAAAGCTGATGTGTGGCTTTTCCGTATCTACTGTTTGAAGTTCTAAATATTTTAGTGTCTTTCTCCAGTTAAAATAAGGAAAAACTGAAAAGATGCCACAAGACGTTAAGTTCTTCTAGAGTAGAGTAGCACAGCATAACGAAAACAAATACATAGAATCAGCAGTTCCTTGGTACTTCCCACATCTTTGTAAGATCAGGAAAACATGAACACTAACAGGGCTCTCAGCCTTAAAGGTGCACAGTCATGCTATTTTCACGTGACACAACATGTGACTCTATTATGTAGCTTCCCAGATTACGTGTCTGTCCTTTTTCTGACTTCTTTCTAGCACTTAACTTCTTGATTGAAACTATTATTTCAATCTGTAACGTAACAGTAAATGTCTGCTTGCTCTGCTGGTACAGTGTTGACCTCACTGAATTTGGGCAACGGTTCAATTCAAAGTTTTCCATTTATCCTGATGAAATTGATGACAATGGTTCACGGCTTATGTGTATTTTGGTAAAAATGAACTACCCTACCACATATTAACAACATATATGTCAGTAGTCAGTGCGATCAACTAGATTATGAAAGTACTTAAAAGACGCCAGTAGAGGGGAGTGCGGAGCCAGGAACATGCGCACAGTGAAGCAACCAGAGCAGAAGTGGCAGCGCTCCTGTTCCCTGTCATGGGCAATTGCTGCCCTGTGTCTCCTCTGTGTTTGCATCCTGCTGAGACTGCGGGAGATCATTGTACACAGACAGGACCGGTTCATGGAGAAAGATGAAACCCCGCAACTCAAGCGTAGAGAAGAAAAAAAAAAAGCACACTTTTTGGCAAAGCATCAAGTATATTTTATCCAGCTGCTCCGAGGGAGGAGGTAGTGGGTGGGTGCTCACAATACAGACCATGAACACAATGAAATCACGCAGGAACACTGGAGAGATCTCATTACGGCGGAGGCTGAGGCGAGGATCGGGACAAACATGCCCACGTCACGTACGAGTCCTGCACCTGCACCCACCATAATGAGTGAAGATCCCAATAGTGAGTGGGACAGGCTTTCATCCCCACTTAAGTATTTAAGCGTTTATTTTGCAGTGACAACTCGTGTCGCAGACCTCCATAAATCCTCTTTTACATGAGAAGAGGTTCACACTGTGTGTGACTCTTGAAAGCTTGGGAATGCTGTAAATATTTTAGAGGAGAGCTCATCTGAGTCATCCACCATTAAATTACTTTCAGTAATGGCTGTTGCCATTAAGTCATTATGGGCAGCATGAAAATTGTTGTGCTCAACGTTAAATCAACAGCAACAAAGAATTAAAGTCATTATAATTGAAGCCGCGCACGTTGCTGTTTACATAATAGCAACTGGGGTAGTCTTTTTTTCTCCCTCTTGGTTTTGAGTTGTTTTATGAGTACGAGGTGAACATGTTGCGTCCCTCTGAGAGCATAAATGTCAGCAACCACCAGGGAGCAAACAATAGAAATCCTATGGGATACCAAAAAAATGTTCCTAACGTGTTTATGACTCATGATTTACAGTTCCCTTGTCTTTCGAAAAGTAAACCAGTGGCTCCTCTAAATAAAGGAACATTCTGTAGTTTTCTATATCCAGTTTCTTTTAGGATTGACTAAATTATA